GTTCTAGAGGATGTTCATGATCAAGGCACCAGCAGGTTTAGTGTCTGATGCCTGGTTATCTGCTTCCAAGATGGCACCTTGAAAGCTGTTATCTCACATGGCAAAAGGGATGGAAAGACAAAAAGGGCAAGATTAAGTGCTTTCTTCAAACTTGAGCCCTTTTTTACAGAATTATTATTTGTGTGTGTGTGAGACAGGGTCTCACCTTGTCACCCAGGCAGGAGTGCAGTGGCACAATCACTGGCTCACTTCAACCTTGACCTCCCTGGGCAACCTGGAGCCCTTTGCTAAATGTGCTAATCCCATTCCACCCTGAGTTAATCACTTTCCATAGGCCACACCTCTGCACTGGGGATTAAGATTCAACCTGAGGCCGGGCGCGGTGGCTCACCCCTGTAATCTCAGCACTTTGGGAGGCCGAGGCGGGTGGATCACCTGAGGTTGGGAGTTCAAGACCAGCCTGACCAACATGGAGAAACCCCATCTCTACTAAAAATGCAAAACTAGCTGGGCATGGTGGTGCATACCTGTAATCCCAGCTACTCGGGAGGCTGAGGCAGGAGGATTGCTTGACCCCGGGAGTCGGAGGTTGCAGTGAACCGAGATCACGCCACTGCACTCCAGCCTGGGCAACAAAAGCGAAACTCCATCTAAAAAAAAAAAAGATTCAACATGAACTTCAGAGGGAACATCATCACTCTAACCATGGCAAGGAGTCTTGGAACTGATGAAATAGAACAGTCCCTTCTTGTCCCTTTATTAACCAGAATTTTTGTGTGATCTTCCAGGAACCACCAGGACCAGCTGATCATTCTAGCCCACAGCAATGGAGGCACATGACTCCTCCCACGTGGACTCTGAGTTCCGATACACCCTCTTCCCGATCGTTTACAGCATCATCTTTGTGCTTGGGGTCATTGCTAATGGCTACGTGCTGTGGGTCTTTGCCCGCCTGTACCCTTCCAAGAAATTCAATGAGATAAAGATCTTCATGGTGAACCTCACCATGGCGGACATGCTCTTCTTGATCACCCTGCCACTGTGGATTGTGTACTACCAAAACGGGGGCAACTGGATACTCCCCAAATTCCTGTGCAACCTGGCTGGCTGCCTCTTCTTCATCAACACCTACTGCTCTGTGGCCTTCCTAGGTGTCATCACTTATAACCGCTTCCAGGCAGTAACTCGCCCCATCAAGACTGCTCAGGCCAATACCCGCAAGCGTGGCATCTCTTTGTCTCTGGTCATCTGGGTGGCCATTGTGGGTGCTGCATCCTACTTCCTCATCCTGGACTCCACCAACACAGTGCCCAACAGTGCTGGCTCAGGAAACATCACCCGCTGCTTTGAGCATTACGAGAAGGGCAGCGTGCCAGTCCTCATCATCCACATCTTCATTGTGTTCAGCTTCTTCCTGGTCTTCCTCATCATCCTCTTCTGCAACCTGGTCATCATCCGTACCTTGCTCATGCAGCCAGTGCAGCAGCAGCGCAACGCTGAAGTCAAGCGCCGGGCGCTGTGGATGGTGTGCACGGTCTTGGCAGTGTTCATCATCTGCTTCGTGCCACACCACATGGTGCAGCTGCCCTGGACCCTTGCTGAGCTGGGCTTCCAGAACAGCAAATTCCACCAGGCTATTAACGATGCACATCAGGTCACCCTCTGCCTCCTTAGCACCAACTGTGTCTTAGACCCTGTTATCTACTGTTTCCTCACCAAGAAGTTCCGCAAGCACCTCACTGAAAAGTTCTACAGCATGCGCAGTAGCCGGAAATGCTCCCGGGCCACCACGGATACGGTCACTGAAGTGGTTGTGCCATTCAACCAGATCCCTGTCAATTCCCTCAAAAATTAGTCCCTGCTTGTTGGTGCCAGGCCTGAAGTCTTCTCCTCCATGGACATCATGGACTGAGCTGGGGGAAGAAGGGATATCTGCTGTGGTCTGGGCACCACCTCCGTGGGCACTGGTGGGCCATTAGATTTGGAGGCTACCTCACCTGGGCAGGGATGATGGCAGAGCCAGGCTGTTGGAAAATCCAGAACTCAAATGAGTCCCTTCATCTGCCTGTGGGTGCATGCTACAGTAACTGTGACTGATGACCTCATCCTGAGTCCCTTAATCTTATAGGGCTGGAAGGAATGTCAGGGCCAGGTGCAGACCTTGGGGGAAGACTTTAAACCACCTAGTTCTCCCCGATGGGGTGTCGGTCTAAAGCTTTGGGGGGCCAGGCACAGTGGCTCACACCTATAATCCCAGCACTTTGGGAGGCCGAGGTGGGCAGATCATGAGGTCGAGAGATTGAGACCATCCTGGCCAGCATTGTAAAACCCCGTCTCTACTAAAAAATACAAAAATTAGCTGGGCTTGGTGGCTCAGGAGGCTGAGGCAGGAGAATCGCTTGAACCTGGGAGGCAGAGGTTGCAGTGAGCCTAGATTTCACCATTGCACTCTAGCCTGGCAACAGAGCGAGATTCCGTCTCAAAAAAATAAAATAAAACAAATAAATAAATAAATAAATACAAGCTTTGGACAAATACTCTCAAGTGATACAGGCAGAAAGGGTTGGGAAAGGGACACTGCCGTCACAGTGTGGCACTACCTTGGGGCAGACTTTTGAGCTAGGATGGTGCCATCCTCTCTCCACCCTCAGGCAAAAGGTCTTTGTGACCTTTCTC